TGGATCAGAGAACAGAGAGGACAAAAGGCATCACCTGCGACGTCAAAATACAACCAGACTTAACTGATCAGAACCCTGGTCAACTTGTCAACCAACAAGATTGGTCATCTCCTCGGTCAACGGGGCGTACATACACACCTATATGGCAATATTTAACGCTGACGCACTGCTAAGACCGATGAAGCGCTACTCCAATGTGCCAACTGGACTGGTGATAAAAACAATCACAGCAAAAACTCCCAAGCCCAGTGAACAGAACATCTGTGAAATATGAGTCACCAATATTCCCTCAATAGCAGAATAATTGACGTTTTCACACGAATAACATGACTTCTCTCAGCTACTTTCGATTCACGCTATTCCAGGCTGTCAATTTCTCCAAAAGCATACATACACAAAGAACACGTTTTTGATTGGCCGTGCTTGCGTTTAAATATAAATACTGGTCGAGGAGTGTGAAGTAATTCAAATTTTGCATGGAATTTGGGAATCCGTTTTCAGATGTTCTGAGCGAGATGGACTTATTCCATTAAGAACATTGAAGTCGGTTAAATTCACTGTCCTTGACTCGATAGATTGATGGACATAGATACGAGGAATAAGGTATTGTTCAAAACCACAAGTAAATCGCGTTCCTCAAAAGTCTTATCCGGTCATGTGAAACAAATCTCTAAACCGGAGTTTTAATAAACTATATGTCTCATATTACTCGGTTAGAAGGGTGTCAATCGAAAAACAAGCAGGTTTTCAAATTTTCAGGTAAATATTTCCTGTGTGGATACAACTCAAGCTAGCTTACACTAACCAGCGAGGCGAATACGGAAGCCCGTTGTCAGCAGTCTTGGAAAGGCACACAAATTGAAGGCAATAAATGGCCCGATAGCCACAGAAGCTGTCGTGTACGTTAGTATGTGATCTGTAAGCCTACCTGATTAGCCTCAGGAAGGACATAACCGGTCGTAAGCTGTCTAGGAGCTTTCAGGAAACTTACGAATAATTTCCTTTATGAAAATAAACTGAAATCGCGCCCACTGAAACATGGAGCGGCCTATTATGCATCACATTCAGTTGAATTATATCATAAACGGGAGATACTGTTGAATCACTTGTGAAAAGCAAGGTACGTGGAAATGAGTGCCTTTGTCGGAACCCTGTGATTTGCTTTTCGGAAGGGAACCAGCCTTGTTAAGAAGCTGGTGGACCAGTGTTAATTGGTTGAAAGTAAACCCAAGCACTCTACCGGTTGTTTAGCGATCAAAACTTGGCAAATCGGAATGTTTTTCTAAGGAGTCAGTCAAACGACTGCTTTGTGTATGCACACTCGGTGTTGTTGACGTTGTTTGTGTCGCAAACTAGTCAAATTGGCAACTTGGTTTGGCTGGCAACTCGAAATAGTCGTCTATCGATCTTTGTGCTTGTTCGCTGCGATGGACTAGATGATTGCGGCATTTGGAACCCTAGCGAACGCTTTCCGGAATTAAACTACGCAAACTAAATTGATGAACCGCACACAGTAATTTAGTCCAGGTGCTTTCGAGCTCACTAGATCGAGAGCGGAAAGACAGCGCAATTAAATCTCTCTTTGTCATATCCTTCTAAAGTAAACTGTGACGCCGCTAGGTAAACGGGTCGTCAACGATCAAAATCTGTTCCGATTAGTTGCGGGGTTTGTTTAGTTTGTATGCATACCGGCCGCTTTTAAACCATCCTTTTCTTGTTCTGCCACGAAAAACCCAGTTAACTCACATCATAAGGGTAACAGGTGGTCAGCGGTGCAATTCCTCTAAATAGTTTTGACTTGTACGGCACGCATTTGACTTAACGCTTTGAAGGGACAGGCGGGCGACAACGGGATAACCCCTGACCTTTTCGTCAAGCCTTTCATTTATAGTTTCAAACGTGGAGTTTTAACGCTGTGGCGATGTTTTTGTTTCCCGCGATTACCAGGCTGCAATCGAAGCAATCCTGTACATTCAGCACCCCATTGCATTGTGGAGGAAGACGTCAACAAGACGCTTCGGTTTCTTGGCGTCGATATATTTCGGAACCAAGGCGGAACGCCCCACCGACGGGTGTGTCCGAGAGCACCGAGACATAGCCGACAGACGTTTTTCCAACTTCTGGATATGACATGCACGTGTGTAGTGTCTGGAAAATGGCGCCCGGAAGTCGCGTAATACACACATTTGCAGACGAAGTTGGTTCAAACACGACACTGGACTTCATCAGGCTGAACCTCTCATTTATGATATTCTCCAACTGAATGTGCTGCACAAGGTCGTGTCATGTTTCAGTTAGCACGATAGTTTAGGTACTACAGTATATTTTCCGAGATGACACACTACTAATAGGGTCACTGAACTCTCCTCGACAGCTCGCGATAAGTTTCGTCCTTCCTTTGGCTCATCAGGTAGGCGCAGTCCAACAGTTTCCTTCAGTATCATATTCTATTTGAACCCAAATTAGATGCGTTTCGCAAAACACACTTTTTTGAGACATGCAACGGCTTTTATGCGGTGCGTTTAGTTGAAGAATATCATAAACGAGGGATTCAGTTGATCTTCCCATTTGAACGAAATTAATCAGAAAATGAGTGTGTTTCGCGGACTGCATCCAGTTAACGTTCTACAGGGTCCTATAGGGTTGACTGAAACTCGCCCACCGCCCCAATTGGATGAACTCAAAAAAGGAAGACGAAATTCGAAATGAGCGGTTGAAGTTTTTAGCAACCATGTGAATAGTATGTTCCGTTAAGAGGAGCGCTTTAGGTTTGCACATTTGACGGACTAGATGCAAAACTGACGTTAGTAGGGAGAACTCTGATGAAAAGAATGGTAGCTGGAGGAATTTCCCTCGAAATATTTGCAGCAAATTCTCAGAACAAAAGAAGTTAGGTGCCCGTCAGCCCTGAAAATGGCTATCCGCATTTGACTACCTTCCAGAGGCGAGTTTTTTCCGAAAACAGTAGAGTGGAGGAATAGCCCCTTCAACGTGACCTTCATCACCGCTCATTTTAGGACCTACCTAAACACGAACACCAAGGATACCTTTCCGGTCCACGTCCATTCCATGGTAATAAATCGATTCGTTTGCGAATGCCTCGCATCGCATGTCAGTGGGAAGATTCAGCGTCCATCACTAAGCAATGCCAAGTGCATGCCGTCATAAAGTAGAGTCCGATAGGCGAAGAACGCGTCCGGAGAGGACAAAGACTAAGGGCGTTGTGGATAGAAAACCTGCAGATCCCAATTAGCTAGGCAGCTATTTTGAATACAGTAACAATGAACAATTTACCTATTCCTAGTGTACTACCACACTGCTCAACAACTCCAAACAATCAGGTTGCGACGAGCACACTTTCTGTCCTAAATAACAGACACTTTCGGATAGCCGCACATCATCCTTGGGCTTATATCTATACCAAAAAGTCAAGAAGCACTACGTCTGTCTCACCCTTTTTGGAAGCAATAAACAGGGTGTATCCCACCGAACTCGAGGGAGCTTCAAATCCGCGACCTTTTAGCTTGAATACTTAACCGATCAGCTACGTGCGGCTGATCGGCAGTGATTAATCCTCACTTTGATAGGATATAACGCCAAGTATCCCTCAGTCATAAAATCCACGTCATATGTTCACCTGCTCGAATGACTACTGATAAGCCGCTCGTGGTTAAACAGTGTTCATATACTGATTAGAAGCTTGAGTGTTCAAATCTCCCGGGCGGTTCATGAGGTGTGCCCTGCTAATAGTTTCTAATAAGGAAACAGATTCACGGTCCCCGCTAACAAAATAAACGAACTCTTTAAGGACAGCACAAGTAATTCCAGCCCTATAGAAAGACGACAATGACACGTAAACTTCAACTTTTGGTTAACATGAGTCTAAACGAATGTGCCGGTTAGCGTTACTCAGGACATAATACCATCAACACTAATGTGAAACGACGGTCTCGGATGCACCAGAAATAAAGCCATCCGCCGCGGAAGACACCGCCGATCGCACTCAACAGTTCCCCACACGTCTGCTCATTGTCATCGACCCACAACGTATTCATTCACTTTTCGGTGAATAGTTGTCACCTCATCCAAAGAAAGCACGAGGGTGGAGATACTGCAGCTTGCTTAAGCCTAGATGGGAGCAGCCGAGATGCGGGGGATGTAGTCGGTAAGTTTGCACCATAACCACTGAGTTATCTCAAGCCCAAAAGTATCGTTGACGGCAGGTGCACACATTTTCCACACCAAGGCAACTGAGTTTTTTTTTCGAAAAGTCCAATTTGGGTTCAAGTAGAACATAAGGTTGACGGAAACTCGGGGACTGCGCCCACCTGATGAGCCCCAAGAAGGGCGAAACGGTCGTGGGCTGTCGAAGAGTTTTCAGCAACCTTGTGAGTGGTTTCCTTCATGCAAATAACATCCTGTTCCAGTTTGAGTGAATCAATAAAATCAAGTCTGTTTGTTTTACCATCTATATCCATCAAGATAAGCGCTTTTGGAATTTCGGTCGGTCTTGAGTGTGTGCATTTTGGTTTTTAATTCCAAAGATCGCTGGTTTTCAGCGGGATCAAAAAATGAAAACCAACGTCTAAGAAAAACCGAACGGTTGTTTGAAGTAAGGGATGTCGTGCCGTACAAGTGTCGTGCATACATCGCATCTGGCGACGTCAGCCTAACCAGGAGGCTAGGTGAATTAAATCAAGGGTTCGCGGCATCATATACTTATGATGTGTGGGCAGAACTGGACAAATCATGAGTAACGCTCAATGGCCGGCCGATTATTGCCAGCCTGTTTTAGTCTCGAGGTAGCTCAGTAGTTGAGCTGTGATTACTGACCGGAACGTCCGTGGTTCGAACCTCAGCATCTCTTATGCTCCTGTTTAGTCCTGGGCAGACGCGTGATTCCTTCAGGCTCATGGTAGCTAAGCATTGAAAGGATATTACCGATGAAAGACTATTCTAGTCCCAATGTACACAGGATTAGAAAAAAACTTGCAATGACAGCACATCTTAGTTGTTTACCCTGTGCAACTGACTGAGAATGCGAGACACAAAAGGAAAATCCTATAACGGCTGCATAGGAATAAGCGGGGGGGGAGGGGACATCAGGGGTTACTAAAGATAACAATTAGAATAACAATAGCGAGAACAGAAAATAACGAATGAGAATGAGATAGCGGATCGATGAACCGGGCGGCGGCAGCACCAAAACAAAACAAAGCTAGAAGCCGAACGGAACATGCACCACAATGCAACAATTGACAGGGAATGCGGAATGAATGTCCAAAGCATAGAAGCGGGCCCATGTTCGTGCGACATGCATGTAACTCATGCTGGAAGATCGCAGCCAGGATGACCATGCTGAAACAGGCTAGTCGCCCGCGGAATGCCGCAAATCGAGTGAAATTAGATTAAGCCTGGGGAGGTGTGGCGTGTTGGAAAATGGCCTAGAGAGACAAGATCACAAATTGTCAACATCCCTAGGTAGGCGAGAATGATTAAGACAGATCCATGGAACCGACGCATTCAAACCGTCTGCATTGTTACGCGCATCATATCGAGTTGCTGCTGCAATTGAAGGCTCTTTTGTTTCCAGTCGTTCGCCTCCTCTGTAGGAATATACAGAAAGACAAAATAACGGATGAGAGTGTGAAATAGTGCAGTGGTGGGGTGGATATGCGACCCGAAGTGAGGTATCTAAAGAATCGATGAGTTATAGGTATATGGTGGTTAGCTTTGGCCTGGTGGCAAACAGCCATTATACCTCAGTAAGATGGCTCCATCTAAGAGGAATAACAGGTCTGTTGACGCATGCCGTATGAATTTGCCTACGGCATGGTTAACATGGTCAACTTAGGATGGTATTTCACAGAATTCTAAGGGAGTAAGAAGGTTTGGAGAAGACCAGGCAACTAAAAACCCGCGTGAGATTAAATCTCCCGAAATCGTCAGTCTGTATCGTATAAACAAAATCCAACTTCACAAAATATCCGGTTCTTTAGGCGCTGTACCCTTCATGCGCGCTACGACAGAAACAAGAGAGCTGATACGGTGTCAGATCGACTCAGGGAGAGCGGGAAAATCGACCGATCGAAGATGAGTAAAAGAATACTTCTCGTTGGGAGATCGTGCCCTAAATCTGGAGATACTTTGAGCTTTTATCGTGTTAGCCCGAAACACAGTTTTTCGAAATAGCGATTCCAAATAAATTCAACATTTGAGACAATTTCGTCTGAATAAGCCTCTACCCAATGCTTGGAGTTGCAAATGGTAGATGGTCATGAGAGAGAAAGACACACTCAACACAGTTTGGCCTTAGGTAACTCCTAATTGACTCTGGTGAGAATATCCCTGTGACGATGTGTCGCTGTGTAAGATAAAATATCGTGTTGGAGATGGCAAGCGCGCGGACAGCGCAAAACTAACGAGTCAGTCATTACTGGCATCACAGTTCTGGTGTCACGGTTCTCCAAGACGCCTGACCACGTGGGATGACCTCAACGTTCGTTGAAGTTTCCAAGCAGGACAATGTTATCGGTTTTCGAAACCAATCAAGAGAGATTATGAACCTCGATTTGGAACTTGTCCTCGTGGTCTTCTGAGCATATCGCTGGAGTGTATCCACAGATCACAGTCAGGGTTTCGGTCTGTCAGACTTAGATGCCCTAAAGTAAGGTGTGGGCTGTATCGACGAGTTTCTGAATTGGACATATTCTTGGTGCGATCAAACAAGACAAAAGTGAAACATGATTCCCCACTGATCGACCATCGTATCAACATCTACTCGAGCAACCCAGCATGCACGGCACCGCAACCAGCGCGCACACCTGGTGGGTAGCTAAAGTCGGATGGTAGCTGAGGGCTACCTACCCCCAGATTCTTGAAATGAAATAGATTGGCAACCGTAGGAAAGTTATCATCGGCTTCCCTGACACAACATTTTATGTATAGTATGAGGTAAAGGTATCTAGAAAAGCTTATCCTATTTGCATAAAGGACACAATAGACCACAACCAACAGCACATAGGTGGCGAAGCTGAGTGGCTTGTACAGGGTGAGTTCGAATTCACACACTTTTTAAAGGATACCCCAGAAGTGACATGTAAGGGGAGTATGTGCGCTTCATGCCTGATTACGATACCGAAACTCACATGTGTCCATCGTGCAAAAGAGGGGGGCGCCTCATACAGGTAGCCAACTGAGGCCAGGGAAATAACAAAGCTAAGATAACAAGCCTGCAACCCAAGCGGCAGATGAACTAATCAGACTCTACGGGTTGTGCTGGCTTGGCCACGTGCTCCATATGCCGGTTGACCAGCCTCCTCGGACAGCTATTCTCGCACAACCAGAGAAAGTTACGCGACGATTTGGCAACGAAGTAGGAAACGCATTACCAGCAAACTCAGCTGTACTGGTCATTGCCACCTACCTGGATGGGGATATATAGATGATTATGGACACTGTCTGAAATGGCCCAGCCGCACGCATGCATTTAAGCTGCTACCTTCAACACATAGCTTTCACCCCCAATCTCCCGAATGAAAAGTTCACTGACACTCCTGTACTGATGCGCGAATTATATCACCTGCCGCCCCCAATGCGTGGCTATCTTTACCCCATCTACCCAAATCATTGGCGAACGAAAGTGTGACAGATATAACCACCGTGCAGCAAGTAGGCGGTTTTTACAGCTGAAGATGCTTATAGCCAAAAACTCACCTTCCAGAAACGCCAATTCCAAACTCAATTCCTCGGCCGCAGTCTCTGCCTCATTTGTTCGTGCGTTTGCCTAAAATATGAAAGAGAAACAATCAGCAAAACAGTCAGGAAAATCGTGACCAATCGGTCTAGACTATCTTGATAAGTGACATCCTTGGTTCAGCATGACAAGACTTGACATCGATTCAATTTCCCGTCGACGGATTTTTCCGCCACTCAGAATCACGGGTGAGCATTTCCTCCATGTCATATTTAGGTGGTGATTACAAAACTGCCATCCAGCTCCGCAGCGTATAATGATTTAAACCAACCAACCACGACACGGAAGGCTCTATTGGATATGCCAGTACGTGTAGTTTAAACAGGAAGTGCTAGACACAGGGGGCACACATAAATACGAATTCCTGTAGCCAGCACGGAGCGGATCGATCCTTTGGAGGGTTATGAACTTCTACGGTGACCGCTGTATAAGGCAAATTTTTAAGGGATGATAAAGTTCGACCATGCCTAACCAGTGTATCATATTGACCTACTGTTTCTGTAAAATACACTGGTCGTATGACACACCAGTGCGAAATACTATGCTGAATACACTTCCTTGTAAAAAAAACCCTACTACATACTAGTTGACAAGATCAAACAACTGAAGCCCACAATCGGTGTGAGTCGGAGGAAGAATCTTGAGTTGTGCGGCAGAAAGTTACAAGTTATGCGATGCTCATCAACAAGATACGGGTGGGCAGATCAGAATCTCTTACAATTTCTGTTAGCCATGGGAAGATAACTCAGGTCACTCGCTCAGGAATGAATTTGATGAAAATTGGTTCCACCATCAACAACCAGTACGTGTATGTCATCCCAAATATTGGATAATACAATAAAATGCTTCCTAAAGTACAAACTCGCAGACTTAACCAATGACAGATGTTGTAATACAGTTTCTGAGTATACGTCTGTGATCATCATATGGCATAGGGGTAACGGAATGAACATGACCTTTCAAAATATACCTCCTCAGAGCGTACTTACCGAATCCAGCCGTTCGGACAGTTTGGAAACCGCTTCCTCCAGTGCTGCCTGACGGGTGTTCGCCTGAAGAAAACGGTGGAAAATTGAAAAAAGAATAGAGTTCAACCAGTCCGACTTGGAAATCGTGCTTTAAGGTTGGTTTCGTTCGGCGAACGACAAGTGTAAAGGTATCAAGAAATCAGATAGGTGTTGAGTTACTGTCCTCTCCAAAAACAACCTGATGAGTATGGACTTCATCCGACAACATCCAAGGGCTGTTTTCTACCAAAAAAGACAATTATTGCGCATGTTACCTGTGTGTATGCACACCAGTAGATGTGTCGCGTTTCAGTCTCGGGATGTAAACACGGTTTAGTGTTCACCTACTAGCCGGGAGATCGCGGATTAGAAAGTGAGGTTGAAATACATGTAGACTACTCAGCTCGTCAGTATAGAAGAGTTTCAGTTACAGGACGAACTCTGCCAAATCTCTTCACACTACCAAACATCTATAAGCAGCTCAGAGGGAGAATGTGTAAAAAGTCTAAGAAGTCATCACTCGGAGAGCCAGTCAAAACGTGACCAAGGAATGTGGTTTCTGTGATTGAAGGTGGTACGTTCCATCTAGGTGCCAGTTAATCACGCTGCTGGGCAGACACTCGTGACCGAACTGTTAAGTGTTCAACCCGAGGGATAGTCGAGGGTTCGAGACTCTCTGGAACTTCGTGAGATGCGTGCTGTTAGTGATTCCCAATAGGAGTGAATTAACAGTACAGTGCTCGGATTTCGAATATAGAGTAACCTCATTTACGGGACAAACTCTGGAAAGGAATAGTTAATGGCTGATTTTGCGGAGAGTTCTGGATAAACCCGCATGCAGTGTATGGTGAAACATACCTAGCCAACAAGCGTGAATTGATTTCTAAGACCACAAGCACCTAAAAGCGGATACGGAAAATCTGGCGTTGCTTAACGCTAACACTTGCCCTCAAATTTTCGAAAAGCTGCGGATGGGTTTAAAATGGCACACATCTTTGGGATGGCATGCTGCTACCATGTTCCTTACGGGGACGGGAGGGGCTTTACTAGGAGACCCTATTTCATGTTGTATATGTGTCTCATCATCCAACAGGTTGCTAGTTTCAAGAATCTGAAGATATCGTCCTATCTGGTATCGACCAACTCTGACCACCGCCCCGGTATGTGCCGTAGTAACGAGCCACATACTGGACGACGATGGTGTACTGAACGGCCTGGACACTAAGCTCACAAAACGAAATCAACCTCCACATAAGCTGTGGGTTTTCACATGATTGGACCATTCCTATGAGCTATCTCTCCACATGATTGGACCATTCCTATGAGCTATCAGAACACAATGGTTGAAAACAAAGCAATTCGATAGTCTCATCGAATGGGTACACTTGTAAACAGCTTACAATATCGCAGGAATAACAAGAGGGATCTCATTGGCTACAACTCATACATAAAGAGCCCCTAAATGAGTTCTTGTGTTTCCCTGAGGGGTCATTTGACGTTCAAAATAAAGTCAGTACTTTTGCGTGCCTTGTCAACTGACAAAGTGGTGGTTGACGCAACCTGACTGCAATGGTGTCTGCTGTTTCGAGTGCATTTTTGTTGATAACCTTCAAACGAATAGGGAGCATTCGATAAATCGCATTGAACGACTGACCTGGGTTGACTTGATGGTTCGTATCGATCAGGTGATTTGCAAATGCATTGGTCACGTGTTTAACTTCTCACGTTCGAATGCAGAACGATAAGATCTCAGCTGCTTTCTAGGATAAGAGCCGAGTTGTGCCGCGCATATAGTTTGCGGAACATTCTGAGACATAACCTCACCCGTGGGCAAATCGAATTACTTCTACGATGCACACTCAATACTCGATTTTTAATCGCTGAGTCTCATCTTAGCTGGCAGTTTTGGGTGTGAACGTACTGTTTTGAACAGCTGTCATTTTCACCGTCGACATGTCGACAATATTTCTATTATCCACGATCGCTTTAACTCAACCCTTGAGGTGCCTGAAAGTTTTCACCCGAAAAATTCTGCACTCAGCTTCAGTACAGGGGATGAATTTAATGATACTTTCCACTTGACGTCCCGTCGTCCAGAAGACCTGACGGGATGTTGCGAAGAGAGGGTTCCGTAAAGAACCCTGGCCCGGTTGATACACGGGCTTCAATAGCTTCGTTGACATCAGACACAACGGAGATCCGTTGTCGGTCTGTCAAACAGGGCTCAAAATACCCACACCCACGATAATTTTGAAGCAAAACTAAGAATAATCGAGGGAGCTCTAATCAAGGACGGATATCCAGAGAGCGCATTTCGATCATCCAGAAACCTGTCCACAGATTTATCGGCGACATGGCTTCCGAAGCTGTCACAGTTATCCAACATCTCTGAAGGACATTCAACGCGATGAAACTAATGATCCATAGCTCCAGTACCCGTCTGCTCAACAAGAAGCTGAAAATAAATTATCAGTTTACGATTCTTAAATGTCAATCAATTCATTTGTTTGCAGGTATGTAGCAAACTATGCAACGTGGTCAAAATTTTTAACGTCCGATTGGTCCCCTACATACTGTTCTTGTTGTTTAGATGGCGATCGATAGGCCTCCAAAGGATATATCCACGGGAAAACTAGAAAGAGAATTCAAACATCATCGGCTGCCCTACAAAAACACCAGGATGATAGTCATTCGTCAGAGAACGATACATCACCTATTTAAAGTGTATAGCTTAATTTATCCCAACTGGGGTTTAGGATGTGTCTACGAATGTGAAGACAGATGGGTTTAAACGTCACTGTCTATGGAAAATCCATCTGGACTGAATTTATCTTGCACTAAACAAAAGAGGTTCCTGATTACGACCTTTTGTCATCAGAACTGTCCGAATCCTACATCCGAAACCCTAGCAAACACTACACGGAGTACTCTGCGCCAGAAAAAATGTCGTTAGACGTTAATCAGATGACACACAAGAGCATACCCTCAGATAAACCCGACCAGATGTCCAAAATAAATGGCACTTTCGGTATTGCCAGCAAGGATGACGCTCTTAAAAACAGTGGAAGAGCTGTTGCAAACTGCTCTGAAACGAGTATATAATGCAGCTAAACTCACAGAGTTCTCACGTACACAAAATCTCCAAATTCCGGCACACAAACTTTTACTTATTCGATATCACATTGTTTTTCTCGCCTCACCGTAAGCCGTGTAAACTTTGGTTGGCACGAACAAACAGAACCTACAGCTGACAAACATAACCAGCAGACGAACGACTAACGGAACCACTGACATAACCTTCGAGCTGAGCACTCAGTTGACATCATCCGCTCACCTTCTATTTTGATGTTATGTTATTGATCAAGGCTCTAGTGTTTTGAGGCCTCGGTGATTTATGTAAACGAGCGGATCCCGACCAACAGCTTGATTGCCTTATATGGCCTATGCGAGACTGCATTTACTCCCTTATTTCGTAGTGTTTTGAGGCCTCGGTGATTTATGCAAACGAGCGGATCCTGACCAACAGCTTGATTGCCTTATATGCCTTATGCGAGACTGCATTTACTCCCTTATTTCTGACTTCATTACACATGTGAAGGCTGACAGCAAAGAATATCGTTCAGCTGTAGCAGCCTTTCGGTGTCGATTACACATGTGAAGGCTGATAGCAAAGAATATCGTTCAGCTGTAGCAGTCTTTCGGTGTCTAGCTGGCATGCCAACGGAAGGAGACACAAGGGCTGGAATATTGCCAAGTTGTTCAAGCCCAAACAAGAACAGTCGAGATGCTGAGGTTGAGTTCGAACCACGGGCCTTCCGACCCGTAAGCTCACGCCTTAACCACTGAGCTATTTCGAGCTGATGAAACCTTATGAGCAAGTTCCATCTCTCAATCTGCTCCCTGAGTTGGTAAGCAGTTGATAAATACTATGCTTCTCATTTGAAGAAAAACACACCAGATTTTCTGTTGCTGAATTCCATTCAGAGAGAAAATGCACCAAAAGCCAACTTATGCTAATGCACCCGTCCACCGAATTCTCCAGGAGTGTCCTACATGGTACAACAAACATACTTCAGGCCGTACTAGAACCGTCCTGGCTTGGTTTAACGAGGTAGCGCTAGCTCAGTGCCGACAGACAGAGATATGCTCAACACTATGTTGCAGTGTTGTTCTCTAGAACCCCAGTCAGTTGGGGGATGCTTGGTGCTGGCCCTCATTCCAGATTAATTTCCATTCGCCGACAACGTTTCGACGGTGATTCTGATTTGTTTCGAAATTCAGGACGTTGTTCGCTGAAAAGTCGTCCTATCACTTATCTAGCAGCTGAGCTCGCGGAGGACAGCTACGGGCCCTAAGAAAGCAAAATGGATCACGATAAAGATACCGTCAGCAAAGAAGAGGTGGACGAACCCGAATGGCAGCAATAACTGAAGCAGCATCTAGTTTCTTTTGGTAAGCCAAAAATAAGGACAAAATAACTCCTACAGTTCCAACAAGGTCGATGGTCAAGAACGACCAGAAAACGGAACTAAAGCTGGACACTTTGCTGAGAACGTTCCAGACATATTCACAACGAATAAAGTTGCAAAGAACTCCGCACAGCAGAAGACGATTTCAGTCCGTTTCACGAGCATTATACCTAAAGAGAATTCACAACCACATTACATTACCGTATAACTTGAAAACGAAGGGAATTACCGAACACACATACCTCTGCAACATAGGCGTCCATCCGAGCGATTTTTGCAGTGAGCAAAGCACTCTCCTTATCCAGCTCTTGGACAACCCTAAACACATGATAGAAACAACAAGAACGCCCGTTACCGCTGAAGTTCTTCTTCTCGTTTCTCTAATCGTTCGCTTGCGGTTTGTGCATCACGCAATCGATCAATCGTCTACAGGACGAATTTGGAGCTAAGATAAAAATCTATCTACCGCTGAGTATGTTTGGGCTGCTGAAACAGTCCTCGCCTTCGCATCTTCTGTTTTAGACTGGAGTTCTTCAATAACATCGTCACGAGTTTGAAGTTTTTCGGTTAAGAGTTCGCTGGTCCTGTGGGCAAAAAGGGTAACTGGAGGCCTGCAAACAAACTTCTGGCACTCAGCAGCTGATTTGTCTAATTCCGACGTCTTGGTTTCATTCTCGCGTATTTTTTGTTCAATGTCTTCCAGCTGTCGCTCTTTTCTCGTGAGCGTATTGTACAACTCAGACAGTTGGGACTCGTACTGTCAAGGGTGCCGGTGTGAATGTCGAAATCAACACAAACCTTCAATCTCTCTAATTTACATTTGGCAAGTTCGTCGGCCTTGAGCTGAGACTGCGATTCAAGCTCCTTATACGTGTCTAGTAAGCCCACGAGCCTATTACGCAAACTTTGAATCGACACCATTGTGCGGAATAGTTGCCGCTGCCTGTGAATGTCACGCAGGAATCGGTCTCAGCTGCAAAAAAAGAAATATTGATCACAAAGGTGGAAATGCAACGAAACGTAGCAGTAGAGGTAGCCCAACAAGCCTGAGTATCTGATCATCCGATAGACTTACAGGCATAAACCTGAGGTCAACGGTTGGAGGCTCCTGTACAAAGTGATTAGACCCTGGGCTTGGCAAAAAAAGGAATAATTCGAAAGCTCGGTCCGCGTTCCACCCATTTTGCGAAAATCTCGGATTAAAATGAGCCCTCAGTAACAGTGCGTTTCTCTCGCTTATACCCGTCAACGGGTCCAAAATAGTCTGACGTAGTACTGCTACAATTATAACCACTACACCACCGCCATCAGAAAGAGACTGGACCTTCCCGTAGTGTGACGGTTGTGTTCCTCGAAGCCCCAGTAAGCTATACTGGGAGGGGTCAGCGCGACACTTGCAGTCTCTCATATCAACATTTAGAGGTCTGACGAACACAGTCTCCCGGCTCTTCATGTTGGGGGTTGGAACATGTGGCGACTTGGTCCTTAAGAACCGTAATGTATTTGCATTGCCCGCCAAACATCCCTGCCTCGCGGTCAGGTTTTTTAGTCAAAGGCTTCGGTTGAGGACCCTAATCGTCCTCCTGTCTACGTGTGGGCGCTCTGGCAGTATCCAAGCCCACGTACAACCATGAATTGCACATATACAGAAAACTCATGGCACATCGGCTGTTCCGTGGTGTCACCAGTCGGGTCGCCTTATTCGCTGCACACAGCAGGGCGGGTAAGCGAAAATAGGCTACTGTTGATGCCTCCCTTCATTCTCTTTCACATACTTTTTCTTCTCTACCTAGCCCCCTCACTAACAACTTTCTCCTTGAAGTCTCCTCCATTTGTCCTGCATCAGTTAAGCAGAAAACATCCGCGCGTCATCCGGCACAGACATCCTCAGGATCTCAAAATCCATCTTCAAGTCTTGACGCCCAGTCTATCTGACCGATTCAATGTCCGCAATCTGAAACAAGCAAAACAACGCGCCTCTCTCGCTCTCACACTGGACTCGCTTGGTATTGATGTATGCTGTGTATCAAGAACAATAATTCAAGGTGCAAGCGCAGTGGCTGAGTTAACCGCCCCATCACTCACCGCTCACCTCCGGCCACGAACCTCTGGTGATTCAGAGGCTGGTGCGGCAGGATGTGCAGGGGTTGGTGTTGACACAAGTCACAAGAAGAAGCCTTGCTTGATTGGATACATATTGATAGTCGCCTATGTGAAGTTCGTCTGGTAACATCTGTGAAGGAAACTCTTAAGTGGGAAGTGGATTTATGTGTTTGTCGTGTCTGCTTACGCCCCAACTGACTGTACCTCTGAAACCATCAAAGGCAAGCTTTACGACACCCTGACCTCCCCGTTGCGGTGAGCTAAAAGATCAGATATGGTTGTGGTTGCCGGAGAAATGAATACATAATTGGTCAGGCTTAGCGCAGCTGAGATTTGATTAGGAGGTCAACACTGACTTGACTCGGTAAGTACGGACAATAGTAAATGATTGGTTCAACTGTATGCTGACCGCAGGCTGTTTTTATGCAGTAATAACTTCCAAAAACTTCCGGAGTCGTCTTGCCACAGGGTGTCCTTCAACGGCGTGAAGGCCACGAACTCAAATCGATCAGATTGCCATTAGTTACCGATGGCGCGGATCAATAACTGACTGCCGGTCGTTTTGGAACACGTTTATGGATTCTGATCAAGCACTCATCCGGGGTCGCTTCTGCAAGGTCCACGTAAGGTGCGGAGAAATCGCCTGGAAACTAAATGGCAGACTCGGATGTTAGACGAACTTATTAGATGTGAATTCGTACTGGGACGAGATCACCGCCTCTTTGCACAGTACTGAGAGTTTTCTCTGTAGCAGGACACTACCAGGAGCACCCGAACACTGGCACTATTTAAATTTCGGAGAAATATCCCAACCGGTCCTGAACATAACTTGACGTAACAAATTATCAGACGTTAAGTGACAGTGAGCATGTGAGCCGACCATGAAGTGTAGTGGACGCAGAAAGCCAAGAAATTGAAAGAAGCCCAGGAAGCCGGTAATGCCCGAAGATTATTTCAGTTGATCCGTGCGACCGATCTTCGGAAAGCCCCTATAAGCGAAACCATCAATGATAGGAATGGAGTGACCATCTTGAGTAAACAAGAATGCCTCGACCGAATATTTCGAACAGTTATCGTGGCCACCAGCTGGTACTCAGTTGGAGCCCACAATCGATGTAGAACTCTGGATGGTGAACGTGAAATTCATGGTCTCAGAGATCTATGACTGCAAATGTTCTCCCAAGCGCCACCGAGCTTCTGGTCCAGATGACCTCCCACTCGCATTGTTCAAAGATCGTGAAATCCTCGTTCAGCGCTGATCTGACCTCCTTGCACGAATTTCGGAAGAGGAGACCGTCCCAGACTACTGGGAAGAGTCGGTGATAGAACGCACTTTCAAAAAGGGGCTTGTAATGAGTGCGTTCACCACACAGGGGTCAGCTTGATCCCCATCACAAGTGACGCCACTTGAAATTCGATGCCTTACGGGAAGCGGGGTTCCGGCGTGGTAGTGACTGCGCTGACCAAATCCTGACACTCCGTCAGGTGTTAGAACAACGCCATACATACAAACGACCCACAATTTTAATATTGCTGGATTTCCAAGGCGCAATTAACTCGGCTGACAAGCTTGCCCATCAAGCAAAGCCCCGAAAGTTTGTGAATACGATACGTTCTTTGTGTTCTCAGACTTTCGGATACGTGACAGCTCGCCGAAGGTTCCACACACAAAGCGATGTCTGGCAGAGGTGCCTACTTTCTACATTCCCATCTAATATCGTGACCTGCAAAATAATGAACTGAACGTTGGAAGGCCCTCAGAAACATGACGTTCAAATAACCTCTGACGACAACACTATCAATCTGGAATATCCGGACGACTTAGATCTCATATTCCAAGAGAATGAGGTGTTTATGGATGAACTGACCCAGGACATCCCGTCCTTTGGTACACACTTTGCACGCACGAAGTGTATAGTCGTGCTCCTGGACATGCAGTCACTGAATACACCACTTACAATCCACGGAGGGGCACTCGAAGTTGTGGAGAGTATCATGTATCTTGGAAGTGGCACTGTTTTTTTATTGTAGTGTGAGAGATGATGTCAACGCACGAATTTGCAAGGCTCGGGCAGCGTTTGCTAGTTTGAGACACCTACGGTGTCGAGGGGGAATACCTTGAATCTCAAGGGACAGTGCAGGTTGTTTTGTTGCATGGCTGTGAGACTCGGCTTGTTGAGTAGCGGAAATTAGACATCTTCAAGTGTTCAACAATCGTTGTCTCAAGTCCATAGCTCGCGTGGGTTGGTGTCGGAGAATCCGTAGCGAGGCAATTAGAAAGTGAGTTTCCGGTTGTGCAACGGGGCCTTCCATTGAAGAATGTGTCCAGCACCAGAAGCTGCGTTGATTAGGCTATGCATTGTGTATGCTTAACCATTGTTTGCCGAAGAGTAGTGGAAGCAGAGAGTTGGCCAACCCTTGAGCTGGCAGGGGGTATGAAAGAGATTACGAAACGCTTGGGTGTTGTCGGTGCTACTCGCCTTCCAGGATGGGGAGCGCGTGATCTCTAATATCGGCTTGGAGACGCTGAAATATATGGCTGTTAATCGATGTCAGTGACGTTCTTGTTGTCCCTTTATATCCAGATTGCCTGAATGAATGTCCGGAGGTGTAGGCAACTCGGAATAATTGCAGTAAGGTATCATCATCATCACCATCATCATCATCGATAGCATGACAAGTGTTCAACACCGATGCTTCACTGCCGCAGTAAGGTAGTACTAAGTCCCTTCTCTATTCACCTTTATTCTTTCAGACAAATCATGGTTGTACGGCAGCGAAGCATCAGTGTTTAACACTGATTTCATGCCGTCGATGATGATGACGACACCACACCCGAAAAATCCAAAAGCAGCAGTGGAAGATGAGCAATTTAGGAGAGCTGGTGACTAGACTGATGCCCCAATGATTGTCAGTCACCTCTAGCAACCTTTTTACGGGAAATGACAGTGGATGTCTGTCATCCCTCCGGCATTTGATTCGCCTTCCAGATGCTCTGTTCGAGTTTTTTTTATATCGGGGACGAATCTTCCTCCTATATTCTTGGGAAAGCCAGAAGTAAGACAGTCAGGACTGAGTTTCGTACCTCTTCGAAGGTTTAGTTTCGTTAGACTTCATCTTCCGTTGGAATCGGGCAGTTTAACATCAAGGTCAAGAAAAGCGACACGATACCCGTTAAGACTGATGCCTGGTGCTGTCATTCTTCAGAGAAAGAACGTCCTATCAAAGGACGAAAAGAAAGGGGAGGGACTGATCGCAAGAATTCACGAGGTAAAATGATCGAAATCACATTTGCATGCAAAAAATCATCAACAGGATTGACCAAGTACTCCTTGCTAGCCTTACCCAACACAAACCCAGCACACAACGACAAGCAGACTTGATCTAGGTAGTTCGGATGGAAAGTGATAGCAAGCCCGCTACCTGGATTGACTTCCTGGCTACCTGACTGACGTCCAACTAGGGTTTCTAACCACTTGCGGGGAAAACCACGTGGACTCCAACCAGGAAGAGGCAAAGACCCCGCAGGGCCCACACTGACAGTATCCAACATCACGGTCACTCCACTCCGACTTTACGCCAACAAAGACATAGAATGGAAACTACGGCTTAATTTGGTAGACACGGGATGGACAAACCTAACACATGACAGAAACACCCCAACTTAAAAAGATTCATCCGTTATTCCGTCAGATCTGACCTACTAAATACTATATCAGAGAGAGTGGTGATCAAATATTTGAAAACGGTTGAGATCTTCATATCGAGGAGGTCAAGTTTTACAGCCATAGAGTAGAACCACTCTCGTAATTACTGAATAGACATGGCTTTTTAACCGCACCGAAATCCCAAGGGAGGAAGAAAT